AACGAGACGGAGATCAGTACGGAAGAAGATAAGTCCCACAAAATTAAGAGACTTTGTTGAATTGTAATTTTGTGTTTGTAATTCTGTACATTTAATTAAGTTATTGGTTAATGTAAGTGGCTATTGTTCGGGACGAACAATACTAAGGAAGGGGCAGTGTAACGACATCGAGGTCACGTGACTAGTATCACGCCATGTCATTCTCGAACATTCACGTTTTTTCCTTAAATCTCGTGATCCTTCTAGAGATAGTGTAGTCTTGTATATATAAGACCGGCCACGAAACGACGGGGAGGTTATGAGTAATTTAATGTATGCGGACAAAATATTGTTGGTCACGTGAGACGTGAGTTATAGCGTTGTTATAGAGCGACTGTTGAAATTAAGTGATTCGTAAAGTTGTATTCGGAAAGAATAAACCAGTTTTATTTAAGAAAGGACTTGTGTCGCTAAAGTTTCGTCACAACGAATTTACTGAAAATTAACGAACGAACGGAGACGTAACACAAAAATTAAATTATATCAATCATTATTTTTTTTTTGAAAGAAAGATAATTAACTTCATGAATGATTTACATATCGTAAATTGTTTAAACAAACCGGAGAATGGTCCTTTTCAGGGTATGGATCTTTAAATTGAATCCTGGGAAGAAATTATGATTTTAAGAAATCATGAATCAACACATTGTGTACGTTAAGATTGATAAGACAGATAAAGAGAAAAACAACACTCCAAGAACAAAATATTTTTTTTAATAATTCAATAGATGAAAACGCTTTAAGTTAACATACAACACTGTCGAAGCTTGAGTTATTTTTTTTTTCATAAAATGTGGAATAAAATATTGCGATAGAACTTGTAACCTTTTTACATTTTAATTCTGAAAAAATGTAGTGATATTGTAATATTCAAATAATTAACATAAAATTATTTTAATATAATTTACCTTTTATATCTCACCAGATGGCGCTAAATATCATTTAGATCGCAGGTTTTGGTACAAACTGAATAGCAAAATAATTATTTTTTACTCACGTAAATTACTTTTTAAGTTATTAACTAATTTCTTTAATTAAAAAAATGGTTGCTGATACACAACTCAACTTTGCTAGAAAAAAGTTATTCGAGGCACTTGGAGATGATTTTAAAGTGTAAGACAATAAATACAAAAATTAAACTTAAAAATAATCTAAGACTTGCTATTAATATTATTAATGCTATAATTATGAAGTATAACTTTAGTATAATAGTAGTATTACTATTTCTCTTAGTATAATTACTTTAATAACAAAGTATAATAACAAAAAATGTTATTAATATTATTAATGCTATAATTATAAAGTATAACTTAAGTATGATATTAGTATTACTATTTCTCTTAGTATAATTACAATTTAACTTGCTTGAAAGTTAACCTATATGTGCGGTTTGAAAGTAAATAGTCGAATATTTGCAATAAAAAGAAACGAATTTTAAGTAGGTAGTACTAGCAGTAGTAGGTTAAATTCAGATTTTGCAGTTACTTGGCTTAAGTTTATAACATTTTGTCACTTAAAAGCAAAGTGATCTAGAGTCTGAACTCTACTGAAGTCCTCCATACCAGTTAGTTTTCATTTTCAAGGTCTTCAATTTTTAAACTCAAGTAATAACACTCATTTTTCAAATTAATTTTCATTATTCAGTAGATGATAAAATAATTATCACATTGTTCAGCAAAATTAGTAAGCCATATTTATTTTGGATTCATGATTACCTAAGAAAATCATTTTGGTAATGATTGTGAATTGAATTGAATTGTATTTGTAGGATGGTGAGATAGGAAAGCTTGTTATTAATGATGTCTGTTGAAACTGAATCTTGTTACTAGTGGACTGGATTTTCTCATAGGTTGATGCTTGGGTCTTTGCTTTAATTAATGATATTAATAAGGGAGTGTTTATTTTATTAGTAATAGTAAAGATTGCTAAGTACGATCAATGTTTTGGATACTTCTACCTGTATTGAGTATGTTGAGGTATTACAGAATGGGTTTCATTATTTGCCAAGTTTGACATATGTTTAGTAAATAAGTTTAATTTTTATGATGCAAGGTAATGCATTTGGGTTATTGTAATTTCAATCATACATATGATATAGCTAGAAACTCAATAATATAATTAGATAAAAGGATTTCAGTATAATTAAAAATAACAAAAAGATTATTGTTATCAGTAAATTTTATGAATTTACTAATTATATCTCTAAAACTAACATTAATGTAAACAAGTAAAAGCAAAGGCCTAATCATTGACTCTTGAGGCACACTACTATATAATAACAAAGATCCAAGTTGGCTGGATTCAATTAACTGAATACGCATGGGTTCAGTTCATTGGACCAATCCCATATTGGAGAAGGAATTTTGGCCATAACTGTGAATTGACTATGTGTATTTACATGAATGTGGTAAGTTTTCTTTTAGTAAAATCCTCAGGTCTGTTGCAGACAAAATCAAATGTGTTATAAATATATCTGCACTCAAGATATGTCTGTGAATTGAAAACATCAGTGTGAGAAATCACAGTGGTATGTGATGTTCATATGAAGAATAAAAATACTTTTGTCCATTGTACAGTTTCACACATTGCTTTTGCATAACTTCTAGAATCTCCAAAATGCATATATACAGTTTTTTTCAGCATCCCTATATATCATATCTGGTATTTACTCTCCTCTACCATGAACTGTTGCTAAATCAGTAGTGTAAGGTAAAATGAATAACTGGTAATTCTAACATCAAATACATTACACCATGTTGATTGGCACTCTGTAAAAGGTTTTGGCATGTGCACTTTGACCCCTACCCATGCAAGTACAGTTAATAATGACTTCTTCCTTTCTCTTATCCAGCCACTCTACAGTCCAGCTAACTGGGCTTTCCCTAACCTTCAACTGATGTGATTTTCTTAGCTAATCTTCTGAATGGTACCTTATTGAAAGTTTTTGAAAATCTCGGTGCAAGAAATCCACACCTTTTCCATCATCCAGATAACAAGTAACATTCCTTATAAGGAAAAGTTAACAGATTAATAAGACAAGATTTCCCACAAAGCAATCTATTTTAGTATGTTTCAGTAATATAATCTTTTGAAACATTTAATTGTTTTGATACTAGTTGAGTTGTAACATCTTGTACGATATGACAGATTAGACTTAGGATTTGTATCAGGTAGATGATAAAAGCAGATCCAGAGGCTGTATTTTGAGCTAGTCTAAGTAGATTGTGAGGTTTTTACTGTTTGAATATATAATTACTTTCATTCTTGTAAAATTTACCATTGAACAGTTTCACCGATTTTGTGTGAAAATGTATTATACTCCCTCTCGTGGTAATGACAAGTAACATCACGTGTGCTAATAATGTAAGCTTTATTAAACTAAAAACTCAAATTAGGCATGAAAATGTTAGTTAGATGACTGGAAGGTGATTTAACTTATCTAATAAACTACATACAAGAGAAAGGACTGAGTTAAATCAGGAAAAGAAATTTTCTGAATTTTTTTGTCATCCAACAGGATGACGTCAAATAATTTGAGGTCATTCTACCCAAATGTTTGTCCAAGCATATTTAGATGATGTGACATTAAAATTACTTTTTCTTGTGATTATCTATTTATTCCATATTATATGCTATCTTATTTTTATGTGTGCAGTAAAGTGATTCAAAAACTTTTGTCTTGCAAATTTATTTACTTTTGTTACATGTCTGAATATTTCCAGCTTGGCATTGTACATGTAAGAATTATATTGAAAAAGAAAAGGAGAATTTAGAAACATAAAATAATATATTGATTTCTCCAATGCATAATTGGTCAAAGCTCATAATATTACAGATATAGATACAATTTTATATTTCCATGGCCACTTCTGACATCTACCCTGACTCAGCCAACAAGTTAGTCTCTTGCTTTGCTTAACATGTTCATTGGCTCATTATCAGATAAATCCACTATGTTCATCATCCCATCTTTTGACATATTGTCCACAGGATTTTCTTTTTCTGGGTTTTTCTGCCCGTAGCCACAAAGAAATGTCTAGAAGAAGGTCAAATGATGCCAAGGTTTTGTTAATTAGCATGAAAGTTATAAAGTCACTGAGTGATGGTAGATGAAGGCATGAGTACCAAACAAGTTTTTATCTTGGCCATATAGCTGAACACTCTTTTTGTCTTAGCTGAGGAAACTGCCAACACCTGCATAATATTTGCTAGTTCCATGATGTTATTGTACTACTTGTCGTGCTTTCTTTCCTCTTCTTGTAGTCCAAGTTCAGTCCATTCCTGCTTAGTCTTATCTGAGTTGAAATCCTTCTTCACAAGAAATTATCAGTCAGGGCTTTGACTTCTGGCACACCATACTAGGCCAAGTCCTTCTCTTTTGTTGGCCACATGGGTCAAACACTGTGAAATTGCTAACAACTGAGTCTTGAATTAAATTTTGAAACTTGATGCTGATTTGCTCAAGCAGTTTATTCACTAAGATCTTGCCATCTTTATGCACAGATTCAGCATCAGGACAATGCCTGCCTCCACCAGGGGCACAGTTTGCAGAACAGAAGTGTCCTCATAAATGTTATTCTCTTTCATCAGTTCAGGAACTTCATCTTCCACAAAAACTTTTCAAATGTCAGTTTAAGTGCTGTAACTTTTGTAATCAATGTTTCTACTGAAGTGTCATTTTTCTGTGAAATGTGAGAACAACTTCAGCAAAAGTTTCATTGTCAAAACAAATTTCATTGACTTAAAAATTGTTAGCAAACCCTTTGCCTTACTAGCTTTTTCACCTGTATCCATTACTGAAACCTGATCTATGTGCTCTACACTTTTTATTTACTACAGTCAATGTTTTTTCTCAGTGTACCTTACATGTACTCATAATGTTAACTGGCCTTTGGACTGTGATGTTTGTAGATCTTACACTTATTTGTAATTCTTTCCAAATAGAAGGTGACTAGTGGGAAAATTTGTCTATGTAATGTTAACTTTTTACATGTATTCTATTTGCTTGGATGCATGCTTGATAGCAAATTTCAGACAATTGTTGAGTAAGTTTGGCCAGTGACATCAGTTGGCAAATATGAAACTGCATTCATGGTCTGGTTTCATTCAGCAGAGCCAAACACTCATGTCTGTTTTGCACTGTCCATAGTCTGTCATATTTGTTTAGAGCAGCATATAGCAAAAAAGGCAAAAACATGTTCAAAAATATTTTATTGTAAATAACAATATTTTTTCCCCAAAGACATGTTATCTAGTAACAGTGTAATGCTATAAGTAACGATCCATTCCAGGTTGTTCCCCAGGACAACTTCAAGATAAATATTTGTTGTCACAGACAAATGATAGTCGTTTTGGACGACCAAAATCCCCATTATTTCAACTCCTGTAAATATATATTTATACATATATAATTTTAGGACAGTAAGGGTCCATTTAGGCTATCACGTCCACTAAACTAAATTTAAAGTAAACATAAAACACTCAAAGCCAGCCCTTACCATTCAAATATTCATCAAGTTTTCCCCATAAACACCCTTAAACTAACTGCATCCACCACATTGGAAGGAACTCATTCCAAAGGCTAACCACTCTATTAGAAAAATAAAACTGTCTTAGCTGAAGATGACTCTTACTCTGCCCTAACTTATATTTGTGTCTCCTAGTCATACTATTCTCACCGTTAAGCACAAGAAAAGATGATGCCTCAACACTATCAGTTTCATTAAGAACTTTAAACACATAAATTGGACCCTCTTTAATTGTTTGATATATATTTCTACAATGATTTTTGAGGTTCACATTACCACTTCAGGTATTGTATCTCCTACTAGCATTATTTCACAGGCTGAAGGTACGGGAGACCCATCGTTGGAGTTATCTGTGATTATCAGCTGTGAATAAGCCAAATCTGTTTGGGCCGATGAAGATTTTGATAACCTTTTTCCACCACCAGATTTTGCCATATCTTCCTATGTCCCACCTGCAGAATCAGCTATGCCTAATACACCATTTTTATACATGTTTTCTCTAGTATGTGATGTTTTATCCATTTTCCCTATTTTCGATGATCCCCGTACTTCTTTGATGCATGATAGTTCTTCCTATCAATATTT